TGCCTTTCCTTCCAACAACCAGCACCTGCGCCTCTCCTGACCTCCTCAGGATACTGAAGCCACTTTGCACAGTGAGGTAGAAAGCAGGAAGTGCCTGGAAATTGACATCTGCCCTCCTGACACCTTCTCCCTGCAGCCTTTAACCAGTGCCTGGAGGTGGGGGGAAAGTATGGAGGAGTGACTTTCATTCCAGAGCTCCCCTGCAGGATCAGGCTGGGCCAGCCACTCCAGACAGGACCTGAGATGACCCCCTCTGTTCTCTGCTTGGCTTTTCTCCTTTACTGTCCTGTTTCACCCACTCTCTTAGCATCCTCATGGGAGCACATCCTTGCTAAGTCACTTGACTACCTGAAACAAACATATAATGGGTAGTGTTGCAGAACACAGTAATGAACACATCTGTAGAATGTTTTCTGTTTTTAAATGATGGCAACAAATACATAGATTTGGCTGTGTTGAGTTAAATGCACATAAGATGATAGCCCTACTGTATTATATCCCCCAGTCCAGCCCTCCGGGACCCCCATGAAGGCCTATGGCCTGTGGCTCTGAGCCCAAAACCCTGCCTTTTGGCATCAGGGAGGGGATGGTCCAGTCTGGGAAGTGAACTTGGAACGATCTTCAGAGAGACAGGAGCTAAAGATATTCTTTTCCAATTCTAAGTTTCATCAAATGATGAAAACTGAGGAGAGGGTTGTAGGAACCCTCAATGTACAGCTGCCCCATCAAAAGTCTGAGTAATCCAGACTCGCTATGGGTGCCTGAAGTGGGGAGTCTTGCGGGATCTGCGCTAACTCTGGATGCTAAGGTGTCAATTGGACCGAAACATTGGACATCCAATTGGTGTCTAGAGAGCTGAAAATCCGGTTGTCGGTGTGAGGAGCAAACCCACACACTGGGTGTCAGAAGTGCTGTAAAAAGAGTATCAGATCAAGGACTCCCTTTGATGAACTCAAAGTCCACTGGTTAGGGACCTTAATCACATCGCAAAAGCCCTTACCTTTTCACTTAACCTGATCATGGGAGAAAAATCCAGCTCATTCCAAGTGCCATCCTCATTCAGGGGAGGGGGTTATGCAGGACCAGCACAGGGGCCGGGGGAGGGGGCACAGGGAGGCAGGAATCTCCAGGGCCTTGAATCCTGCCAACTCTGACCGACAGCGTGCCGTGGAAGCAAGTTGTGTAACTTCCAAGGCTGGGCCTCAGGAGGCCTTGCAGTGTTCTTCACCTCCTCATATGGCTCCGGCAGCCCTGTAAGGAAGCCTGCACTGGACTGCTGAATTGTGAGAGGCCACGAGGAGAGCGAGGTCCAGCCAATACCCAGGACTAAGCCCCCCGACATGTGCGTCAACTCTGGCCATGTCTCTGATTACAGCCCCATGAAGGGCCCGAAGCAAGACCAGGTAAAAACAAAACAAAACACACATAAAACGGCCCAGCTGAGCCCAGGCAACCCACAGAATCATGAAAAATAGATTCTTGTGTATGAAGCCAGCAAATGATGGTGTTTTGTAGCACAAGCTAACTGAAATTCCCTCTCTCTGGGCAGCAACTCGCACAGTCCAGGAGATTAAACTTTTCCCTTTCGGTGTTGGACCAAACCTCAGAAGGACAGACTGGGGAAGAGGTACAAGGAACCTTTTCTCGTAGAATAGAGATGATCTGTGAGGCGCCCTCGGTGCCTCAGATGGTTGGGCATCTGCCTTCTGCTCAGGTCGTGATCCTGAGGTCCTGGGATCGAGCCCCACATCGGGCTCCCCGCTCAGTGGGGAGTCTGCTTCTCCCTCTCCCTCTGCCCCTGCCTGCCTTGCTCATGCTCTCTCTCTCTTTCTCTATCAGGTAAATAAATAAAATCTTTATAAAAAAAGAGAGGATCTATGAGAGGTGGAAGAATTCAAGGTGGAAGGGACTTCCTCTCATTAAAGCTCCGGCTGACCCCTCTACCTGGGCTGCCTTTCTCATTCTTCACTTGCAGACAAATTCATCTTCACCTTCCAAGGCCCCAGTCCAATGACCCCAGCTCTGAGAAGCCCTCCCAGCCTCCTCTCCTCCAGGTAGTGGGCTGCTCCCTTATCCAGTATGATGGTTCATTTGATTTGTCAGCTTGCTGGGCTCTGAGATGCCCAGATAGCTGGTAAAGATTATTTCTAGTGTGTCCGTGAGAGTGTTTCCAGAAGAGATTAGCATTTGAATCCACAAGCCACCCTTGCCAATGTGCCCTGTTATCCTGTATCCATTGTGGGCCTGAACAGAACAAAAAGGCAGAGGAATGGTGAATTCTTTATCTTCTCAAGCTGGGACATCTGTCTTCTCCTGCCCTGGTTCTCTGCCTTTCCAATCAGGGCACTAACACCCGCCTCCTCATACTTGGGCCCTCTGCTACCAGCTTCCCTGGTTCTCCAGTTTGCAGACTTCTTGACCTTCATAACCACATGAGCCAATTCCTATAACAAATCTCCTCTTAATGTATTTCTGTATACACCCTAATGGTTCTGCTTCTCTGGAGAACTCTAATACATTCAGATTCCCAAAGCATCCTCTACGTACCTTTTGTGGTAGGCTGCATATGCCCCATCCACCCAAGGATGTCCACATTCTAATCCCCAGAACCTATGAATATGATACCTTACATACGCTGTATAATATGTTACCCTAGGGTAAAAGGGACTTTGCAGATATGATTAAGTTAAGGATGTTGAGATGAGATAATCCTCAATTATTTGGGTGAGCCCAATGTCATCACAAAGGTCCTTATTAGAAAGAAGCAGGAGGTAAGTCAGGGGAAGGCAAAAGTAAATATTGGAGTGATGCAGCCACGAGCCAAGGAATGTCAGCAGCTTCTAGAAGCTGGAAGAGGCAATGAATGGATTCTCTTCTAGAGCCTCCAGAAGGAACCAGCCCTGGAGATATCGACTGTAGCTCAGTGACGCTGATTTGGGATTTCTGACCTCCAGAACTTTAAGATAATAAGTCTGTGCTACTTAAAGCTATTAAATGTGTGGTAATTTGTTACAGTGGCCATAGGAAATTACATGTTTATTATAGCACTAGTCATACTATATGGCAGGTGCCTCTCTCACCTGAGAGTTCCTCAAGCCTGGGGCACCTTTGTTTAGGTGGCTTAACACAAAACCTTAAAAAGGGTCCCAAAAGCTGCTGAGTGAACTAACACATGGATTTAATGTTTACCCATTTTATCTGACTGCCACCTCTCTCAGCCTGATGGCACGCGCGCACGCGCACCTGCGCACACACACACACACACACACACACACACAGCTCATCTGCCCATTCACTCTGATCATCCCCAGGAAGGCAGCTCTATTCTTAGACCAAAGGCCACTTTGGGCTGGCCAGCAAATAGCTATTTTTCAAGAGCATGTTGATTTTAAGGAAGGTGAGGGGGATTTCTCCCAAGATAATAATTGGGCAAATCTGCATAGATGCAGAGATGAGAAGCAGCAGTTTTGATGCAGTCGATTTGAAACCACAAGAATTGGTATTACAGTACAGAAATGTAAAAATCCTCTTTTCTAATAAACAAGTGATGAAAGCAAGAGACGATCCTGATCCTCACCACATCCCCATTCCTCTCCACCTCCATCTCAGCCCCACCACAGCCACGAAAATGGTGGCAAAATTTCCAATTAATGACACCAAGAGAGTTTCGCTTCTTTTCATTAAGGGAGAAAAGCAGAACCCAGACAGTGTGATTCATAAGATCCCATTCTGTTAAAAAGAAATAAATATATATATATATACTATGTATATACAATGTATACATACGTGTGTTTGTATAGAGGGAGAACAGGCTGGAAGAGGATGCATGAAGATATTAACAATAATTTGATGGAGATTATGGGGGAACAGTCGGGTTTTGTTTTGTTTTTTTTAAATTTACAAAGAACAAGACCGTTGGTGTAATAAAGAATAAAGTTTAAATAATTCAAAGGAAAAGAAATGGAGCGTTTTGTGTGGCAGGGCTATTTTGTGTCCATTCCGGGACAGCCAGGTCTCCCAGTCTCTCCTCACACGGGAAGCTGGAGTCTGGTCTCCCTGTGAGCAATGGCGGAACCACTAAAGGAACTGCACGCAGCCGAAGCTTGCCGAGGCCAGGGGGCCTGGGAATCAGAAAACATATAGACAAGGTCATGTGGGTGGTTTCTGCCAAATGACCCAAGGATGGCCCACTCGGGCCTAATCTGCGGTGCCAGGAACCCATCTCATCCCACAGCCTCTCTGTCCCTCCCCTCGCCGCCACATAGTCCTGGCTGCGATCTTCAACCCGCCTCCAGAGTGAAGGCAGGTGCCGCCCAAGACCCCAGCCCGCCAAAGAACAGATGCACAGGATCCTCCCGACCTTCCTCCAACCCAATACACCGCCCCCAGCCCTCTTCCTGCGGTGGAGTTTTTGTTTTAATTCATCTGAACTGGTTACAAAACCACACTCCCACGAATACATAAATAATGGATTGGGGAGGGGGAGGGCAATGTTTTAAAGAAATTCCCGCAGGGTCTGGCAAGGCAACAGCAAATGCATTTCTGCTGTATCATATTTAACTGTTTGCAAACTTCTGCTGGGAGGATGCGCAGCAGCTGCAGAGACTCCATCGTCTTTCCCCTGCTGGGGCCTAGGGAGACTTGCAAGGGGGAGGTGTTAAAAGGAGGGAGAGGTTGTCAGCTATCGGGGGCCGGGAAGATGGAGAAGGGAGTAAGAAAGTGTTAGACTGCACTGCGCCCGACCAGGCTTCCCGCAAGCCAAGCATCCACCCGGTTCCGGGCCCGGACTCCCGCCGCCAGGCGAGGCCCCTTTAAGAGCCAGCGCGCGCCCCCGCCCCGCGAGCGCTCACTTTCCCTAGCAACCGCCCCGGGGGAGGGGGTGGTCCTGGCAACGGCGCGCCTGCCCGGAGGGGTCACGTGACGGCCCGCAGCTGGAACACGAGCGCGCGCCCCGCCGCGCGCCCGCCCGCCGGGGCCTGTGCGCTGCGGCGCGTGCGCGAGCGGTGCAGCACCGGCCGCGGGAGCAGGGAGTATTATGGGCTGTGGGTGCCGCTGAGCAAGATGGAGCTGTCTGCAGTGGGCGAGCGGGTCTTCGCGGCCGAATCCATCATCAAACGGCGGATCCGAAAGGTGAGCCGCCTCCCGAGGCGGGACGTCTTGCCCCGCAGCGGGTGTCCGGGTCCGCGGCCCATCAGGGCGAAGCGGTCCGGCTAACACGGGTTCTCTCGTCCACCCCCGCGCCGCCGCCTCCTCGCGTCCCCGCATCCTCCCCACCCCCACTCCCCCCTTTTTCTCTTCTCTGTTTTTCAGGGACGCATCGAGTACCTGGTGAAATGGAAGGGGTGGGCCATCAAGTAAGTGCTGGTGGGGTCCAGGGACGAGGGGGGAGGGGAAGCAGCGGACACCGGGGCCTTTTTTTCCCTTGGTGGTGGGGGGGGGGAGTGTGCACGTTTGGTGCCTCGCATGTGCCTCTGCCTATTACGTTTTCATTTTTATTTTGTGCATATGTGACTCGGCAGGTACAGCACTTGGGAACCCGAGGAGAACATCCTGGACTCGCGGCTCATTGCAGCCTTCGAGCAGAAGTGAGTTTGGGGAGCTGGCAGGGGCGGCGGGGCCAAGGCTCGGCTGGGGCGCCGCGCAGGGAAGCGGGGGAAGCGGGAGAGCCGGGGCGGGCAGCGCGGAGTGGGGCCCTGGAAGGGGCTCTTTTTAACCTTTGGCGTTTCTCGGCCGCAGGGAGAGGGAGCGTGAGCTGTATGGGCCCAAGAAGAGGGGACCCAAACCCAAAACTTTCCTCCTGAAGGTAATCTGGCCCAGCCCCAGCAGCCCCCTCTCGGGCCCCTAGCCCTGGCGCAGCACGGGGCCTGCAAGGGAGGGACAGATCCTCGGCTGCCCAGGCAGGCGGACTTTTCCAGAGGGGCCCCAGCTGGGCAGGGGGTGGTTGTGAGCCCCCGACCGAGCCCCTGGCAGCCGGCCCTGGCCAGCTCCAGCTTCAGCAAGAGGGGCCTGGGAGTGGGGAGTGAGGGAGGAGGATAATCCTCGCTGACAAAACCAGGGTCTGGGCAGGCCACCTGGGCTCCAGCATGGGGGTGGATGAGGCAGGTGGGGGCTGTCCACCTGAGGGGGTGGCAGGGAGGTTACTTCTGCACATCGGATGAAGCGAAACCCTCATCTCCCCCAGCCTTGAGCTGGTAGGGCTCTGCCTGGAATTAGAATCCATAGGGAAAGTAAATGTGGTTTCCCTCAGGGCTGGGAACAGGAGAAGCATTTGGGGGCCACCTGCCTCCCCACCCCCAGGTTCCTTCTCTCAGGATTTGTTCTGCATGCCTCCCCTCCTCACTGGGGAATGCAACTTGAATTCGACCTTAGATCACTTCACTTTGAGTTTATCACCTGGGCCGGGCCACTGGCTTCCCCCCAGCCCTGGCTGTTTCTGGAGGTTCTAATGAGAATGGGGTGTGGGGGAGTGGAAGCATAGCACATTAGCCTTGGCAAGAGAGACCTAGCCCCAGAGGAAGCCATCTTAGAGGTTTTGGTGGGTTAATTTTTCTTAGTGAGAAAGAACACAGTCGGAGAGGGAAGGTGACATGACCTTAGGAGACAGGCAAGACTGCAGGCGGGCCTCCGTGGGACACCACCGTTGTTGGCCCAATAGCACTAAAGTTGCCTTGGGGCCCCTTCCCACCCTGGCAGCCTGTGACTTGGTGGCAATTGGCACGGGAAGGACAGGAAAGAGACTGTGCAGAATGCACAGCCTCAGCATCTCCAGTTTTTGCAAAAGGCTCAAAGCCCCGTGAGGGTGGGGTGGGCCTCTCCAGCCCCACCCCCACCCCAAAAGGTCTGTGCGTGGGTAAGGGTTTGAACTTAAAACCGACGTGAAAGAACTGTTGGTTTCCAGAATTACATATTTCCGTGACTCCTGTTCCCAACCGCCATACGTTAGGGGATCCATGGAGGAGCACCCTTAACCCTTGATGCTTCTTAGGAGGAGGGATGGGGCGGAGCAGCTGGAGGGCGGGTGGGCTGTGTGACAGCCCCTCAGCGCAGCTGGAGCACCCTCTAGCGGTCAATTGAGTAATGACCGTGAGCTTGGATTCACGAAATGCCTTTTTTTTTTTTTTTTTTTTTTTTTCCTTGATGGCTCTAGCTTCTGAGCTGGCTCTGGGCCTAACACAGTGCTGAACCCTCACATGGATTATCTCCTTTAATCCTCTCAACAACCCTATGAAGGAGTATTATTTCCATTACCCAGATGAAAAAAATCAAGGCCCAGAGAGGAGAGATGACTTAACGTGAGGTCCCACCACCCAGTTTCCTGGCTTCATTCTGGCTCCTTTTATTCACCCTGTCCCTCAGAGAGTACATACATCTGGTTGAGGGGACAAGGTGGACACACCCAGGAAACGATGAAGGCTGCAGAGGTGGTGGGGCAGGGGGTGGAGAGGCAGCTGAGAGGACCTGAGCCTTACGAGAGTGATGTGGATGTTTGCCAGGGGTGGTGGAGACCAGCTTGGTCTGAGCCCATGGCTCTGAGTCACTGAGAGGCAGTGTATACAGTAAACCAATTATACTCAGCGCTTACTTTCTGCCTGGAACTGTTCTGAAGGGAAATAGGAGCCCATGAGGTAGGTTGTGATTTAGCCCCATTTTACACCTAGAATAATGGAGGCCAGGGAGGTTGTGGAACTGGCCTGTGGTCACAAAGCTGTAGAATCCAGGTGTTTAATCTTCTGTGCTGTCATCTGTGGTGCACGCCAACCCCTCAGAGCCGTGCCTCTCACCCTATCAGAGTGCAGTAAACACGTTGGCTGTGGTTGGCCTTTTTAATTCACAGGCATACCCGGGTCCCACCTTCACAGAATTCCCAACCTGCAGAGGGGAGAGGAGGAAGGGCACACCAGTCTTTAAAAAAGAAAAAAAAATATATATATATATATATATATGTATGTATTTTAGAAGATATAAAGTAAGAAATGTTTCTCATAAAAAGTTTGGAAGCTGTACATTAGTAAAAGATTATTGCTCACCAGCCCCTGTCCCTCACCCCCATGGAGAGAGAAATCTAGTCTGTCTTGAGTACTTGCTGTGTACCAGACACTGGGCTGAGCAGGTAGCATATGTTATCTGACGGTATATATGGCCCACCGAGCCAAAGTTTTGTCCCAGGTCTGAGGTTTACCCACTTTTGTCACTCCTCAGGGTCCATCACCTCTGGACTTGGGCAGAGCCATGACAACAGATCTCTGGGAGCGCAGGCGACATGCTGATGGCATGAACACTAACCCTCTGTGGGGGGGATCAGAAAGAGTGGAGATTCCCCCAAGCTCCCTTGGGGATGAACCTGCCAAAGGCCCTGCTTGCCATGCCAAGGAAGCCTGGCTGTCTCCTGCCTTTGTCTGAGAAGAGATGTGAGGGAACCGGGCCCTGGCTCCACTGGCCCATGCCCAGGAGGAGTGGGCAGCCCTGGCATGGGGCACGCAGGGGTGCTGCCACCTAGTGCTCAAAGGGATTGTTGGCCAAGCAGCCCCAGGAGACCCCCTCCCAGAGGGGCCGGGGGGCCACTTAGCGTTAAAAGTGTGTTTCCACCACCTTCTAAAGACCTCCCTGATTCAGCAAATAAGTCCACCGACACTGCTTCAGGGGATTGTGGTCAGATACCTAGTTTTGTCTGAGGGGCACACAGGCCGCCTCACAGGGACTGGTTAAGCATCTAGTGCTGGGGGGTTGTGGAGAGCCCCCAGACCACAGATCCCATTCTCGGGGAGCTCACCAACTGACCATAGGAGTGTGCCCTCCACCTTGGCCACCACTGTCTCTCACCCGAATTGAGGCAGACACCGCCTAGCGAGTCTCCTCCACCAGGAGCGAGGATGTGTGTAGATGACATATCAGCCATTGCTTTTAGTCCCTTGACCACCGCATGGCTCTCTGCCTCCCCTGTTGGTCTTAGCGGTGTCCCTGCGGCAGGCCACCAGAGCCTCTGTAGCTGCCTCGAACATCGTTGGCTCAGAAAGGACCAAGGCTCCCTCCTACTAAGGCTTCATCCTCCAAGATAGGCCTGTGCCCCTAAGCTGTGCTCCGCTAGCCCCCATCCATCCTTTATTACATTGAATCACCCAACATCCTCAATGCCTGTCGTCCCTTGTCTTTCCCAGGGCGGGCAGCCCCTGGGGGAGAGGCTGTGTGTGTTTGGAGTCGTAGCTCCAAGCAATTGGCTTGTGACTCCAGTACTTTGTTAGTGAAGGAAGGACGGTTTATGTGGCCTTGTGAGTCCCCTGCCCTGAACATGGGGGGGGGGGGCTTTACTGATGTCACACTTGGGAGTGCAGCTGAGCCCAGGAGCCTGGGACAGGTTCCCTGGCTGCCCACAGGCCTGCTCAACTATCCTGCCCTCCCCCCACCCAGGCCATCCCAGCATGGATATGACGTTGGTCCATCCCCACCAGACCCTTGTCTCACTGGGGTGGATTCCAACCTAGGCTTTAGGTGTTGGCTTTGGAATCTGTTGGCACTGATTTGCTCAGCCCCAGGCCTTGAGCCAGATCCTGGGCAGACATGAATCAGACCCAAGAGGGGAAGTGGAGGGGGCCGGGAGTGTACAGGAGGGGCTGAGAGGGCCAAGGGGCTGTCCCAGAGGTGCTGATCAGCCAGGGAGGCGAATCCAAGCTGGAGGTGCAGCCTGTTCAAAAGCAGAGAGTGCAGAGCCTTTGGGACTCTGCAAGTAGGTCAATGGCGCTGGGGTGCGGGGTGGAGCAGGGAGGGGCCTCCCTCTTCCTTCTGTCACCAAGAATTGGTCCGTGGAGGAGTGCCAAGCTAGGCTGGGATCCTTCACAGAGCAGAGTTGGTCAGGGGCTTCTGAGCAAAGGGTCATTCCTTCCATGCAGTGTCCTCATTGCTGACGCTTCTCTGTGTCAGCCAGGGTAGCTGCCATCTGTCCCAGGGGCCCACGGCCATCAAAAAGAGTGGGTCTTAGAGTCCTGCTTGGGCGCTTCGCTTCACCTGTCTGAACCCATTTCTTTTTATCTCTAAGACGGGGTTGGGAGCACAGCAGATTCTCCAAGATGCTCTCAGGATGGTTTAAGGAGACAGGACTTGTGGGTGGGTGGCGCAGGGGCATCCGGAGGAGGTCAGCAGGAAGCTGAGCCTCCGCTCACCCCCTCCCTCCGCCCCTCAGGCGCGGGCCCAGGCTGAGGCCCTCCGCATCAGCGATGTGCACTTCTCTGTCAAGCCAAGCGCCAGCGCCTCTTCGCCCAAGCTGCACTCCAGCGCGGCCGTGCACCGGCTCAAGAAGGACATCCGCCGCTGCCACCGCATGTCTCGCCGCCCCCTGCCCCGCCCCGACCCCCAGGGTGGCAGCCCTGGCCTACGCCCCCCCATCTCACCTTTTTCTGAGACGGTGCGCATCATCAATCGCAAGGTAAAGCCTCGGGAGCCCAAGCGAAACCGCATCATCCTCAACCTGAAGGTGATCGACAAGGGCACAGGCGGAGGCAGCACCGGGCAGGGGGCCGGAGCCCTCGCTCGCCCCAAAGTCCCCTCAAGGAACCGTGTCATCGGCAAGAGCAAGAAGTTCAGTGAGAGCATCCTGCGCACCCAGATCCGCCACATGAAGTTCGGCACCTTCGCGCTATACAATAAGCCCCCGCCTGGCCCTCTGCCTCCCCAGCCAGCGGGCAAGGCCGATGCTGCGGCCTCCCCGGGCCCCGGGCTGCTCCTGGCCGCCCCCGCTGCCCCCTACGACGCCCGCAGCTCCAGCTCCTCCGGCTGTCCCTCACCAGCACCGCAGTCCTCCTCCGACCCTGACGACGCGCCCCCCAAGCTGCTCCCTGAGACCCTGAGCCCAGCTGCTCCCGACTGGCGTGAGCCCGAAGTGCTTGACCTGTCCATCCCTCCTGAGGCCGCGGCTGCCAGCAAGCGGGTGCCTCCCGACGTCCCTGCTGACGCGGGCCCGGCGCTGCCCACGGCCCCCGAGCCTGCCAGTGCCGCCTCCGAGCCTGAAGCTGGGGACTGGCGCCCTGAGATGTCACCCTGCTCCAACGTGGTGGTCACCGACGTCACCAGCAACCTTCTGACAGTCACTATCAAGGAATTCTGCAACCCTGAGGATTTCGAGAAGGTGGCTACTGGGGTAGCAGGTGCCACTGGGGGTGGTGGCAGCAGTGGGGTGAGCAAATGAGGGGGCTCCACCAAGGAGGGGGGCTTGGGGGGGCCCTCCTGCCCAAAGTCCTACGTTTGCTCCCGTGCCCACCCCTGCCCTCAGACACCTCTGCCTGTGCTTTGCTTGTTTCAGATGGCTCGGTGTTGCCCCCCGGGATGGGGCTGGGCAGTTGGAGCCCCCCGAAGCCCAGTGGGAGCAGCAGTCCTGGAACGGGTTAGGGCTGGGGTGGGGCGAGGGCACTTGGAAGTCCTCCCTCTTGCCCCTTGGCACCCTCCTGCCCGTGTATGGTGGGGCCTGCTGGGTGGCTCTTCCGGAGCCCCCGAACCTGGGGTTCAGCTGCCTCCTCCGCATCCCACTCTGTCTCTCCCCAGCTTGCTTCCAGCTCTCGCACACAGCATCTGATTTCTCGGTGCTAACCCGACAGCTGTGGGGCCCCTTAGGAGACCCCCTCTCAGCGGGCACGCTGTCCCTTTCCTCCCCAAACCGGATGCCTGGGCAGGAGGGCCAGGGATGGCAAAGCCCAGTCAGAGGTTGAGGTGAGGCCGGCCTCGGCCCCTCCCTCCACGTCAGGGAGGGTGGCAGGAGCGGGGCCAGAGGGCCAGAGGCCTGGCTCTTCCCACAAACTTTAGCACCCGACCGAAGCAGGTCCCCTTAGGCTCCACCTCGCCCCGGCTCCCTCCTCAACCCCATCTCAGAGGTGGGAGGGACTGGTAGGGCCCTTCAGTTCTCGACCAAAGGTGCTACAAGAACCTGCTGTGGAAACTTCCAGCTGGCGTGCGCACCTGCCGCCCCACGGCGTGTTTGTGCGCGTACCTGGATGTGCACGGGGCCCGGGCTTTCCAGGCGGCTCTGTTGAGGGTTCCTCAGAATGGGGTTATCCAAGGCCCAACCTTTCCTTGCCCGGACCTGGCGCGGGTCCGAGGAGTTTGCTGTGGAGCACCCCAGGCCGATCCCCCCAGCCCAGCTGTGCTGGGGTGCACACCCCCACGCCATCCTGTCCCGGGCGGCCCACTCAACCAGCCAGGCCTTTGCTGCGGACACGGCCTGGCGGGGACTGAGGTGGAGACGGGAGGCCCCGCTCCGGCCTTGTCCTTCCTTCCTCCCCCGCGTTTGGGGGAAGGAGGAAGCCTGGAAACCACTCCCCGTGGGGGGGGGGGCCTCCAGCCTCTCCCCGCCCCCCCACCTTCGCTTTTGACCGCTGAGGCTTCTCACCACGCAGCCTGCTCGAAGCAGCCGGAGGCTCCGGAGCCCAGGGCAGCTTTCCCAGGGAGCTAGGGTGTCCATGCCGGTGGCAGAGACCAGGGCCCCTGCTTCAGGCCGGGCCCTGGGAGGGCGGGCAGGCCAAAGGGGGTGACCAAAGAGGGGGCTTGTGTTCTCCAGGAGAGGGAGGGTATGCGGGACTGGGGCGCTGTGGGGGCCGCCCGGCCGGCCAACCCCGGGTTTCAGTCTGGCCTGGGTGGCGTGGCCCTGAGCGGGGCTCCAGGGAGCTTCCGGGCGTGTGCAGTGAGAAGTGTCTCAACTCGGAAGCGTGATGGCGGAAGGTAGGGGGAGGCAGAAGGAGAATCCCGTTAGGTAACAGATGCCTTTGTCGGAAGTATGGGAGGACTCGCTCTTCCAGATCTCCCTGCCAGGGTGGCCCCTGCCCCCTCCGCACCCCCGGATGTAGAACAAGGGCCCTCACAGGGTTTGGGGGGCTGGCACTCCTAGACCCCTCCCCACTCTGCCCTTTGTGTTGGCTCTGTGGCCGTCCAAGTGCCAATTGGCTTCCCCCCCAAATAAGGGCTGGTATTTCTCCTCTGTCCTTAGAGGGGATTTCCCCCCTGACCCCTCACCCCAGGTGAGTGACCGCCTGGGGGCCAGTTACAGGTGTTTTTCAGAGACCATAGAAATGTGTTTTCCTGAGAGTCCGTGTCATTCGTGACTTTTTTTGTAAAGAAGTTGTGTTTTCAGAGGTGATTTTATGACAGGAAAGTGAAAGAATTAGTTTTGCAAAAAAACAAAAAACAAAAAAAGAGGAAAAAAAAGAAATAGAAAAAAATATTGTGGGATTCCTACGGGGTCGGGGTGGGAGTGGGGGGGAGAGAAAGAGATATTTAAAGAAAAACTAGTACCGCAGTGATTGCACAGGTGAGGTGGTGATGTTAGGAACGGGGATGGGCGGCCTCCCTCCTGTCCTGGGCCCAGCCCCCGCACCTAGCCTCCTTCAAAGGGAAGGATGACCGCTGGTCCCAAGGGAACTCGCCAGAGCTGCAGGGGCCAGGTGAAGGGAGCTGAGATTTGGGGGAATGGTGGGGGGGGTGAGCGGGAGTCCCACTGTTGCATCCTTGGTGACTTTGTCCAGGAAAGCTGGTGAGTAGATACAGTTGGGTTTCTCGCTCTCTTCCACTCATTTGCCAGCTTGTTGGGTCATCTGGTCCCTCCCTCCCCACCACCCCAAAGACCGTGACACCCCTGAGCTTCCCTGTCCAGGTAGGGGATACAGGCTTCAGAAAGACAGGAGCTGTAGATTCTGGGAGAATCTTAGGTAGTGACCCTAAGGGATTGGGGGTGCCCATGCGGAGAAGAGAATGCCTACCCCTTCTCTTTCCACGGGTGGGTTGCTGCCCCTGCCCCTCAGCCGTGCGGCCCCACCCCATCTCAGCACACGCGGAGGCACACATGCACACTGCTTCGAGGTGGGCACCTCCCCTGGGAGGCCCAGGTGGGCACCGGGTCGAGAGCAGGCGGAGCTCTCCTTACCTCTCTCCCAGGGTGGCTCCGAGCGGGGACCCATAATCCCCCCACACACTCTTGCACGAATCAGCCTCCTCTGGGCCCTCCCTCTCCCCTTGCTGCTTTTCCGTTTGCCTAATTACCAAGCAGAAGTTGCATTCTGGTTTGCTTTATTTTTGTATGTGAAATACCCCCAAAGCCCAATCTCCCATATTCAATATCAGTTGGGGCATCGGTCCTCCCCCCTTAATGCCACCCCTTCCCCACCCACGTGTCATAGGAAGCAGGTGAGGTCTGGTGTCACCAGTTTGAGATGGGAAGTTGGGACACCTCCCTGTCTCATTCCCCTCTCTGACCCTCAGTGTGCCCTTCTGTGAAATGGGTGTATTGGGCTCAAGGCCTCTTCATAAAGCACTGCTGGTGTCCAGACAGCTGCTGAGGATTCAGTGCTGGTCGAGGTCGCTGGCACTGGGACCTCTAGCCTTCCACAGCCCCCTCTCTTCTTGCCCTGCAAAGGGGTCTGGGGCAAAATGAGTGCCATCCTTCCCCGCTCTGGAAAGAAGTGATGATTGAGGTCCAACCTCAGTGGGAGGTGGGCAGAGTAGGAGGGATCACCCCATTGAAAAGACCAGGAAACTGAGGTTCTGGGAGGCAAAGCTGCTTCGCTGGGGTGAAGAGCCCAGCTGCTCTGGCATTTTGGGAAAAGCCCCTTTGGAGGGGGCGGACACTGAAGCCACTGCAGAGCCGGCAGGCGCCCCCTACCCCCACCCCTTTGCCAGGCAGTCCTGGGTGAGGGGTCAGCCCAGAGGAGGAAACATAGGTCGGGGGTGCTGGGCCATGACCAACCCTTTTAGCCTCCATGGGGCCCAAGTGGACGCACCACCATTCCTACCTTCTGGGGTTTTATTGGTTGGTTGGGTTGGGTTGGGTTTTTTGGTCTTTTTGTTTTTTGTTTTTGTTTTGTTTTTGCACTTGGCCCACGCCGGACAGTGGAGCCCCACACGGTCAGTTCCGCTTTCGGGCTCCCATGCACTAGCCCAAGGCAGCCTCTCGGGGGCTTGTATGGTTTAAGGAATCACTTTTAAAAAGAAAAGGAAAGTGTTTAAAGGTTTTTGTTTTTCTCAGTCTGCATCTCCTCTCAGATTCAGAAAGGAGTTTAGGGGCTAACACTCCAGGAGAGGGTCTCCCTAGCCTGACTCCATCTTGCTGACAGTCACCAACATGCCGAAATAGGGGGACAGGCTGAGTGGGGACTGAGGACCCCACACCCCAGGCCTGTGGGGTCCCCCTGCCTCGCCTTGAAGGAGTCGATAACCCACTCCAGCAGTGAGTGAGTGCCTACTGTATGCAGAGCTTCAGCTAGGCAAACAGGGCTGATGGTCTAACCGGACTCCTTGCAAGAGGCCAGGGTAGAAGGAACCAAGAGTTCTGGGGCCTGCCCCCGCTGTTGGGCGGAGTGCAGATGGACACTTTTTGTTTGTTTTAATTTAAAAACACAAAGGCCTAAAGAAATGTATCTTATAATTTTTTTAATTTTTGAAAAGCTCATTTAATGAATTGTGCACGAATGAATTCTATATATATAAAATATACGTATATAGCTCTATATTTGGGGAGGGGCGCTGTCTCTTTTTTCTCTTTTCTCATTTTAAAAATGAAGTGTTGTTGCCTTTGTCTGTGGTTCAACCATCCAGCTCCCAGCTGGCTAAACTTTGCCTCCAGTGGGGTGACAGAGGGACCGAGTTGGGTTGGCAGGAGACCAGGAATGGAGCTGCCGCCCGAGCGTGGGGGTGGGTCCCCCAGGCTACCTGCCCCCTCCCAGAGGTTGCGGGTGTGGGTTTTGGTTCTGTTGTTCTGGATTCAGTTGTTTCTGGGCTGGGGGAGGGGGGTTTGTGCCGATTACTCTCGTCTTGTACGTTTAGTTCTGCTGCTCTTCAATGTTGTATCAATGCCAGGAAGGGGGAGTGAAAAGCCTCTTTTGCCCCCCAAATAAATTGTCACATTCCGAAGCTAAGGTCTGGCCCCTAGGGTGGGGATGTGTCAGTCTCATTTCTTCGGGCTGTGCATGTGGTCCCTCCAAGCATCGGGCCAGGCCTCGCCTGCTGCAGTGAGGAGGGGGGTGGCCTGCCCCTCCAGCTGTGGCCCGTTTCTAAGCTCGCCACCTCCTACCCTCTCCCCACCCCGCAGCCTGTAAGTGGGCTGAGTCGGAGTTAAGACTGAGGTGCTGCCAGGCAGGCGGGCACCTTGGGGGGGGCGCCACTCTCTGCTCCCCACTTGGAATGGCAGCAGCTGCAGAGGAGGGGGCTTGGGGGGCTGGGTCCCTAACAAGTTTTTCGCCACAGACCCTGGGAGAACGGGCCGGTGCAGAAAAAACGTTTGTTCTCTGGGCGCTCAGGTGCCTTCTCTGATTAGATAGATGAGCAGCCACAAGGAGCCCTCTCCCCACGTAGGGCAACCTCATGGGTTGAAAAGCTGCAGCCCTGGGCAAACCTATGCCTTCCTCAAGGGCCCCGTCGCTCTGCCCTTGAGCCATGCCTTTGTGCATCGGTGGCCACCCATTTGCCAGACCTTCAGCACATGTCCCCCCGAATCCTCCCCTTCCACAGCACCCCCACCCCTGATCATGAAATCCCCGGTGTCTCCCCAGCCTGTGTGCAACCCCCTGCCCCTCCCTGACCGGTCTGCCAGGCTCCATCCTAGCCTGTTCCACCCCTGCCTCTTCCACGGCAGTGCTACAGGGGGCTGGAGCCGCCGCCTCAAGCCCCCTGGGAGCCCACTGCCCTCAGGATCATGTCCCAAGTCCTCCACTGGCAGCCTGCTGGGGGTGCCGGCCCCTCCCACTCTCCTTGAGTTCTCTGCAGGGGCCTCCCATAGCCTGCAGCGCCTCCTGGGCACCTACCTGGGGCCTTGTCCTTCCAGGTCCCTAAGGGTGGGGCTGCAGAGTCCCACACTACCCACAGCTCACAGCCCA